CCTCCATGGGGCAGCCCCTCCCGCCACAGGCCCCCTAGATCCTTCTGCTTCACGCTCTCTGACCCCTCTGCAGGGAGACGGGGTCAGTGTGGGGCAGCCCCCCACAGCCCCTCCCACCTTCCATGGGGCAGCCCCCCCATTGCCGCCTGCAGCCCCCCTCCCCTCCCCTCCCCGGGGGGCGGTCCACTCACTTGGGCCCTTGACCGTAACCTTGAGCTCCCCACTACCGGCGCCTTTCGTGTAGACCTTGAAATCCGCCGGCTCCTTCACCCGGAGCCCCTTGGGCTGCAGCCCCCGGCCCGTGGCCCGGCAGGCACTGGGGCTACAGGCTGGGGGGGAGGGGAGACAAACCGTGAGAGGGACCCAGGCGTCCGGTGCCCCCACCCCCACCAGGCATTGGGGTTTCAGTCTCAAGTGAGAGAGGAACCCAGGCGTCTGGGCTCCCGCTCTCCAGTGACACAAAGCAGGGGGGAGAAAGTGAGCGAGAAGGACCCAGGCGTCCGGCTGCACCCCATCCCCACCAGGCATTGGGGTTATTTGCTAGGCAGTGAGAAAGGGGACCCAGGCGTCCGGGGCCACATCCCCCCACCCAAATGCAGGCTTTCTGGGCCCCAGCCCCCCTCCCGCAGCCCTCCTCCCACCCCCGAGCCCACACAGTACCATTAGCCGGGCCGGCCTGGCGCCAGGGTGAGGGGCACCAGCCGAGGATCCGGGACGGCAGCTCATCGAGAGACAGACAGACAGAGAGAGAGAACTAGGACAGCTGGGAGCGCAGCGGAGAGAGGAGAGAGAGGAGAGTTACCGGGGGGGCAGACAGAGCGGGGACCCCCCATGTCCCGCCAGGGAGACCCCCATGCCAGGGGGCAGAGAGAGAGAGAGAGAACCCCCGTATCCTTGGGGAACCCCCGAGATGCACTGGGGGCCCCATGCTGGGGGGCAGAGAGACAGACAGACAGCAGAGACCCCCCCCTCAAGACATGGGACATTGTGGGAGACCCGCCCTGCCCAGCCCGGCCCCCCGTGCTCACCCTGCCCCACAGCGACGGTGTAGGGGCTGCGGGGGATGGGCATGCCCCCGAAGGTCACGTGGACGGTGTAGGTGCCCTCGGCGCCCGGGCGGTAGGTGCACCGGTAGGTGCTGTCGCCCTTGTCCTCCAGCTGCTGCTCCACCGAGCCCTTCCGCCCGCTGGGGTCCACCACAGTCACCTCCACCTCGCCCGCCCCCGCGCCTGGGGGAGGGAGGGGTCAGCCCCGGCCCGGCCCCCCATGGGATCCCCCAGCCCTCCTCCCTCACCTCCCCCTTGCCCGCGCCTGGGGGAGGGAGGGATCAGCCCTGGCCCGGCCCCCCATGGGATCCCCCAGTCCCCCTCACCTCCCCCTCACCCGACCAGGCGCCTGGGGGAGGGAGGGGTCAGCCCCGGCCCGGCCCCCCATGGGATCCCCCAGCCCTCCTCCCTCACCTCCCCCTTGCCCGCGCCTGGGGGAGGGAGGGATCAGCCC